TCAGAAAAATTACCTGCGTCATCAGAGGGCTTCATTTTGATTGGTGAGATCTGAGTTTTATTTAATTTCATTCGTTTCTGGGTGATTTGAGAAAATGCGACTAGCCAATCAGCGCAAAGCTGACAAGCTTATGTTGTAAACATAACCCTCCGACGGGAGGAATTTGCACAGCAAAACTCGACCCAGTGGGGTAGTCTGCCTGTCATTTTATTCTATCCGAAAAATCGAAGCTAAAACGCAAAGAGAAATTGAAAATCTTAGTAAAATAGCTTTTAAATGTCAATCAAATATTTATCGTTATAGAAAGAGAATTTATCTTAAAAATGAAAAAACAAATAACTTTTTCTTTAATACCACGAGACTCCCCTCCCTGATAGAAGTAATTGTTCTGTGTTCAACGCGGGTTCTCCATTGCATGCGAAGCAATGACCGACTTCACGAAGACTTAACCAGAAAGTCGTTGAGGCGACGTTCAACTCCAATGTATCTTAGGAGGAACCATTGCAAATCATTTTTCTTAGCTCTTGTTTCCTTTAAGCTTTGAGGTATCTACAACATCACTGGAAGAGCTAGAGCAGCTTAGGTCCACGACGTATTCCAATAGAGTTAAAGCGTTTGTTATTTTTGGTACAAACAACGGTCGTAGTTCATTCTTTGTCGCATTTTCGGCAATATGCCGCAAGCGTGCTCGACGATTTGACGTTATGTAACAGGCCAGTTACACATTTACTAGCTCTGACCTTACAACTAGAGCTAGAACGGTGACTGGGGTTTTTCGTGTAATGTCTTGATAGCGACTGTTTATGTCGAAACGACTCAAAACAAAATTCCATCGTGAAAAAAGTTCGACTAAATTCCCACGCGTGTGTATTCAAGGTGTAAAATGTTTCATATGAGAATTCAATTCTTAAAGGTTTAATTCTATAATCATTTTGTTTAGTTATGTAAATAAATTTAACACGACTTGTACTGTTTGTCTGAATGAAAGGCGAGATGCGGGTTTTCCCTTTCTTTATTTACACTTTCAAATATGACCGCTTAACAAAAATGCACGGGCTCACTGGCTTACAACCTTGGCGAATTCATATGCAGGCCTGGTCGCAAATCAATCACCCAGTTACCTTTTTGAACAAACTAATAGGGAGGTTTTGTATGGAACGGAAAATTCTTCTCGGACTAAAATGACTGGGACTTGTATTCGATCGATAAACGTTCCATTCAAAACGACGAAATTATAAAACATAGTGACACGTAAAAATGATGGATGACAAATCGATGGTATAGATGCATGTACATGCAGGATATATGTGCACATATAATGCACGGGTCAAACAAGAGATATTCAAACTTTAATTGTGAGAAACCTCAAAATNAAAGAACACGAGAAATTAAAAAAAAAATGAAATAACAAGTTTTAACTTAAAATATTAAAATATGTTGTCTTCTTTACAATACTAGACTTTTGAACCTTTTACGTCACTACTTGATTTGCAATGCATTGTGGGACCAGTTTTAAGAGAAGAAATCCGCCATGTTCTGCCCCAAACATATCCTACAATGGTACATGACGGTACATGACGTAAAAGCTTCAGAGGTCTATTCTCTTCGCTATTTTGATCGAAATGTAGCCGTACTTTATCTTTACAATGACAGATAGCTTCTTTCACATCTATAGAACCTTCTTCAAAGGTTTCTGTCATTGCAAAGTTGTCTCACGTCGGTACAAAGGCACAACTACCTTTTAAAGTGGCTTAAGGAAATGCTTATGTTGACGCATAGTCTAATTTATAACAATGATGAAAGGAATACACTCAGATATGTTAAGGCCGATTTAGACGGTACAACTTTTGCCTACATAGTCGCATGCAACATGCGTAAGTCATCCTTTACAACATGACTACAACAGTCATAGAAATCGAAAACAATTGTTTGATAACCTTACGACAGTTGTAGGCATGTTGTAATGATGACTTAGGCATGTTGCATGCGACAGTTGTAGGCAAAAGTTGTACCGTCTAAATCGGCCATAGCTATAAACGGGTTGTCCGCAGAAAGAAGAACGATTAGGGAATGTTGAGCATTGAGTTTACAGACCGTAAGGAGGCATGAATATTGGCATGATATGTATTGATAGAATAATGGGGCTTTCTAAAGCAGGGCCGGGGTGTTCAAAGCCAGATTAGGCGTTAATCTAGGGTTAACTTCATATTTTTTGAGAGTTTACCCTTAAATTAGCGCCAATCGCGCTTTAAACAATCAACCCAGTTTTCATTTCGAATCAAATTAAAGGAGATTTTATTTTTAGAGAGTACTCGATTAGACTAGTACATCAATCAATGAGAATTAGAGACCTTGTGATACACCGTCAATCAAGCTGTACCCCTATTTCCTTGCTCTTGCAATCGTCTTTCATTTTTTTTTCTTCTCAAAACTAATCAGGCAATGCTGATTTCAGATATTTTCCATTTGATGACCAAAAGTGTTCGTTAGAGTTCGGTTCATGGGCATTTGACGCGTCTCAGGTGGATTTGATTGTTAGCAACGATTCAGGAGTCCAGAAMAGAGTTTACCAAGCGAATACTGAGTGGGAACTTCTGGATTTTAAATTTTTTGTGGAACAGGTATTGTTTAAAATAGACTTAATTCACCAACTAACGCAATCGACGTAGTTCAAAGCCTTTAGTATAGGTTATGTATGGTACCGCACTCCTTCTGCAATGTGTTCTTGATGACTTTAATTAGTCATCCTTACACTAGCATGGCTACAACTGTTGTAGGGCTGATTGAATGATTGTTTAGAATTCATTCAAAAGTTGTAGCCTTTTCGTAAAGATGACATGAAAATGGTGCATGCAATGGTTGTCTGATCAGATGTAAATATAGATGTAAATTTACAATGTATGTAAAAAGCGCATGTAAATTTGATGTAAATTTTATGTAGAGAAAAAAATTTTATGT